AGGTCCAGCACTCCCCCCTCCCGTGCTCCTTAGCAGGACGGATGGCATATAAAGAGGTCAAAGAGACTACCAGTGTCATGCCATAAATCAGTGGATCAGCTTAGAGGAGAGCCCAAAAGGCTCCTGCTCATCTGGTGTAAACTGACTCATTCTGCTGTAGTCAACAGAGGATCTGACAGCAGTAGATTTGCCCCAAGAGCTTCAGAATTCCCGCTTTAGATTTATCTAACTGGTATTTCAGATACTCTTTCTCTGCTGTCAGTGGCAGAGATTTTATTAAAACCATCCTAATAAATATATTTCAACTACAGCTTCATAGGATATCCATACTTCCCTCCCTGCCCACAAATAATACATTATGTATATGCGATTATAAAAATACCAGTAGCTAATTTAGTTTAATTTAAATTTAGATTTTGCCCTAAACAAATACTGATGTGCCCTGTATATTTTTACTGCCAGATCATGATTTACTAACTCCATTTTGGGGGTTAAAGAGAGCATGACCTTGCCCCATATTAATATTTAAAGATTACCCTGCACATGAAATCAGATGCTGACACAAGTCTCAAAGGACTAAAAGGTTTTTAATCTTTTGAAGAAGCAGTGCCACATTGAAATATGTATTACTGCATTCAAAACACAGCATGTAACAAATGTCCCACTAGCAGGCATCAGAGACTGCAAATTTCATTCAGTGTAATATGGTCCACAAATATCAACTTTTTTCTAGAAGGGAAATTGCAATGCCATAAAGGCTGAGGCTTGACATCATATCAAAGGCAAGCAGCACATCTCAGACGTTGCTGTAAAAAGAGTTTGCCATCCAGTCCTAAATGCAGGAACCATTTAGTGCCCTTTTCAAGGCAATACATAGATTTTACTCTTTTCAAAAGGTGAAAGTTTACTTACATTTCTGTACAAATGCTATTTAGAACAGTTTAGGAACCATGTGATTCTTTGTTTTTACAACAGCTCAAGCCTAAAATATGAAAATCTCCTGATTTTTCTTTTAATAGAGTTTAAAGGAAAGCCAGAGCTGTTTTAATAGAAAACAGAAACAGCTGATGTTTAACATAAATGAATAATTTTATGACTTTTTTTAGAGCATAGTTATTTTCTTTAAAAAAAATCAAGCTTAGCCTATCAGCATTTTTAACTCGTGTCTTTCCACTACACCTAAGCTTCAAACAAAAATACAAGCTAGCAAACTGTAGAAAAGACTAATTAGTTTCTCATTGCATTTTGGGTGTACTCAGTTTGTGTGAAAATGCTATAGATGAGGTCTCTAAATACGATAGTTCCTGTGTTTTGATAGCATCATGGAGGTGTTACAGGAAAATGATGACTTTATGGTTTACCCAGTCTCCTTTCAGGTAGGTGACAGAGGTGGCAGCGTACCACTCCTGGTCTCTATTTCTGACAGGCAATTGCAGACTGGTGCCTCTGGGAGCTTGCTATGGTGGTGCCTGAAAGCTCTGGTATAGTTTGGAGGTAAGTCAGCCAAACTTTAGATTGATGTAGAGGAATTTGGGTATGAGAGGATTCCGGCTTGAGCAATTAGCCTGTGAAGGTGCATGTTCATTTCCAAATCATCAGCTGAGAGTCACCACTTTATTTGCTGATAGATTTATATTCAATTGCAATAGACTTTAAAATGAAAAGGAGCTAGACCTGCTGTTTGGGACTTATGGAGGTGGTGCTGAAAAATTTGGTGCAAGGATAATAAGAGCATCCCTTCTTGGAGATGCAGCTCTCCTTGCCATGGGGCACTGAAGGCTCCCACCTGACTGTACTCTGGGTGCTGGCTGTGCTGTTGCAGGTCTATGTTGTTGTAACCTAACTCTCACCTGGCCATTTTACAAGCAGGGTACCCCTTCTTTGTTCCCTTTACAGCTGTTAAGGACCTTTAATATTCCTTTTCCCTTAGCATGTCTGCCCGAGACCCATCTTTCTTCCATCTGTCCTTTCCTTCAGCAAGGTAATGAGAAATGGGAGCAGATGCCAGAGAAACACATGCACCTTCTAATTGAGTGAGGACATAAAAAGGGACAATAAAAACTGTGTGGAGACTTTTGCTTTCAGTGCCTTCCAAACATTTGGTCCTAGTGCGACACATTTAACAGTCAGCTAATCTATTTCCCTCTAAATGTAGTTATCTTGTCAGATTTTTGTAGAGGCAACATTTATTAGAAGTTTTTTGGTCACCGTAAAACAATTTGATCTATTTTATCCAAAATGAGTGTTTTTCTCAGCATGACTTACTTAGAACTTCATACTGCTAAGTCTCCAAAAAAGAATTTTAGTGACTCACAAGCAGGATGGCATGATGCCCTTCACAGAAATAACAACTACAGATGCATAAAAAAATTAGAATTTAAGAATCTGAAGTTCTTTGCAAAATCTGCAACACTTTTATTATCAACATTGCTGATAGTACAAATGGGAATGAAGCAACTGATAAGTGTTCTGGTCCAATGAATTTACCTACTGCTTATGATCCTTCCAGTTGTATTTTTAACTGTTTTGGCATTCCCTATTAAATCTCCCTAAATAGTCTTCTTGCTGGTTCAGTGCTCTCGACCAGGAAGCTTGTGAGTTCGTGAGGATTTGTACTTGATCATGAATGATTCATGAAATGAGCTTAGAAAACTAAGTTTAACATCTTATTCAATGCTGAGGAAAAAAAGAGCATCTTCTCCCATACTTGTAACAACTTGGCTAAAAAGGAAGTCTCAATGTCTCATTTTAAACACTGAAATTCAGAGCATCTGTTGCCTTTCCAGCTAAACATCATATCTAGTAAGAAGCAAGAGGAAGCATTTTAATTTACTACTGTAGCCAGTTTTGTTTTTCATTCTGCTAATACATTTGACCACATACCAGCAGCACACCACAGCCAGGCTATTGGGGCGCAGCTGACAGGTGGTAGCAGCCCGTGTTGCCATTTCTCACTCACATTTAATCAGGTGTTAGATTTTTCTCTAAAAGCTATGTCTGAAGTCAGTTGATCTTGGTTTTATTTGTTTACGACTGATTCTCTCTCTCTCTTAGGACAACAGAAAGCATATAACCCGGGGTGTTAGGTTCTGGTGCCTCTCCTTCCTTCTCCTCTCCCTTGACCTCTCTGTCTGTGGCAGACAGGAATGCTCCATTTCTGATGGATATGTATGGCATTCATAGCCTGGGAACTTACAGCACTATTTCCCTGCTGTGCATATTCCATATAGATGATGTTTGAGTCTTGGTTTTCGCACCAGTGAAATGGGGATAATTGTGTTGCTTTGATGTACTGATAAGAGTGCTTTGTAAAGCTAAATATTTCTTTGTGGAACATGCCATAGCATGTTTGGAAGCTCTGTATAGCAAGGGGTAAGACGATGACAGAGACATGGATCTGATGCAAAAAAATTAGGAGAAAACAGAGAAGGAGGTCCATGGTTATTCCCTTGCTGTTCTTTGTCTCCTATTGTAAGAGGATGAGGATATTGCTATGTAAGAGCATGAGGATTTTTTTTCCTCTTCCTTTGCTGAGTGAAAAGACGACAACACAGAATACATCTAGGGACACCTGCTGAGAGAATAAAACACAATAAACATGAGCATGCTATGGTGAGAGACATGTTTTGCTTGTGCAATAGACATTTTGATCCAGAGTTATAGGAAGTTTAAACATAACCTGTAAATTAAAATCAATTCCAATGCTTTTGTTATTCAACCTCAGGTTTTTTCATTGTGCTTTGCGTTTTTTTAAGCTGGACAAATTTTGATCTCATGGTTAAGAGAATAATGAAAAAAAAGAAAGTACTTCTAAACAAGGTCTTCTAAGGTGTCCCCCGGGACTATGATTTTGAGCTGGACTTGCATTAATTGCAGTTTCTCTGGCTGTTTGTTAGGCCATTGCCATGCTGTGTTAAGGTCTCGATGCTTTTATCTAGCCCTCCCCTATTCTCTGTTTGTTCTTCAGCAAGGATGAGAGGAACCCTTACAGTATGCAAATACATAATGCTTTCTATGCTTCTTTCTTTAGAGACATAAAAGGATTTTTTTAAAAAGGCAAGTTGAATACACAGAAATAAAGATGTAAATCTTCAGAAGCAGGCAAGCTACACTCCCTCTGCACTTCACAAATGAAGCACGGTTTTTGCAAAGAAAGAGTTTGTTAGGAGAACCAGAGGAAGCAGGATTTCCATAATGATTTGCAAGAAAAAATTCTGTAACACATGGCACCATATTTCCTTCAGAACTGTAATCCCCTTGGGACCAAATTCTTTACTACTTAATCACTGCAGTAATTAGAGATGATGCTGGCAAGTGTTCATTGAACGTTGTGTCATTTTACATCTTAAAACCTTTTGGCGTTACTTTCCATTTCCTTTATTTGTTGTGTTCTGGCCCACCCCCGGATGATTAGATACAGCTGGCCTTTGCTTTGGGACCAGGTCAGTTTTGCAATTAAGAGCTATGTTGGTCTGCACTGATAAAAACAGGGACTAAATAATTCTATTTATGGTTTATAAATTACTTTTCCACCAAACATTTTTTATAATGACTTGTGCACAAGCGACATGATGTGAAACAAATCTCTGAGCGAAACAGAGGATTCCAGCCACAAAAAATGTCTTTGTCCTGCAATGAGCCTCCAAATGTGGAAATCTGCAATAACAAAGTATGAATAAACATCAGTCTGGATGAAGCAGAACTCTGTAGGTGGAGAATAATGCTGTAGCATCTAACCTATGTGCGGGAGGTGGCCATGATTATGAGGAGTGCCCTGGGGAGCACGAGGGCAAGTGGGACCACAAGCAGCATCTGCCTAAACCTGTTCTTTCCCCTCTCTGCTGTTCTGTACAGGCCGGCTGATGTGATGTCAGATGAAGAGAAAGGAAAAAATGAAAGGGCTATTCAACACCTTTATCTGTCATTTGAAATATCTGTTGGTAAAGTTGGGTGGACTGCTGTTGTGATTTTAATAATAGCCCGGCTTCTCTGCATTGCAGGTCTGTGCCTGTACCTGTTACTTCAGAAAAGCAGAAAAGATTCTTCTCACAAGATATCATAACAGGTGAACACTACATGTATACCATTCAGTTTCCTAAAATCCAAGTATTGTTAACTATACTGACTGACTTATCAAGACAGCAGCGCACAGTGGAAGATCCCTGAACTACTATTGTAGGCTTCATTTGTCCTTTTACACTCCAGATCTTAATCTTCATTTTTCAAAATGTTCATATGTGTGTGTGTGTTACTTTTTTGAATAGGCTTTGATGAGGCACTGAAATCTTTCAAAGGTCAGATGTGGAGGGTGCAGCTATGGCATGGCTGTGATGCACACTTCTGGCTGACACCACGTGTTTAAGTATCTTTTCAGCGGGGCAGACATTGTGGTGTCCCTCATAATTTGCTTTGGTCTTGGACAAAGGCTGGTTCTAATTTCTGCTTTCAGTCTCATTTCTCACAGGCCGAAACAGAAAATTCATCAAATTTAAAGTTCAACTTAAATGACAATTTGTGCGAATAATGACCTTTTAAAAGACAAGGTGGTATATTATGTCTTTTGAAATGCTTTCAGAGGAGAAAAACACACAGTAAAAATTATATGACAAATATAAAAAAAGGGAAAACAAACTTAGTAACATAAGCAGCCATTACGCCTTTAAATTATCTCTCCACAGCCTACAAATCTTTACTTTACTCACGCACGCCATACATCTAGCAAAGAGAGAAATAATATTTTTTGTTACCACTCAATTATAATTGATATACTACTCTATCATTTTAAAATGTGTGAAAGCTGAAAAGTACAAAAAAAAATTAAAATGGCAGGCAAGGAAGAGCATATAAAAAGTGTTAGAACTTTCTAAGCTAGTTTTATATACATCCCCTTGTATGTATGTTCTAGGGGCATACAAGAAGTGCTAATGAAAATTGGTAATGCGTAATAGCTCAAAACCAATTAAAGAAAATTACCTTTCCTTTTAATTCTGCTTACAAGCCTTTTCTGCAATATTGATTATTTTTCAGAGGTAAGTGATAGTATCTATTCTTTCTGCAATTAATCCATATGTTCATTTTGCATAGTGGTTTTAGAAATCCACTGAGGTTCGGAATTAACAGCATACTGGTAACTTTAAAATAAAGCTAGTTCTGTGAAAGTTTCTAAGAAAAGAATCTGACCTAAGGCTGATTGCTCTGCTGCTGTGATAAAGACATCTATTAGTGTATTAGTTGTCTGATATACCAGAGGACGGGTTCTGGAATCTTTTGAAACTAGAATTCAGATTGCACCCAGCCGATTGCTTCCTTTCTCCAACACTAGCACTTAAAATTCCAGAGCCGTGGCTAAACAGCAAATGTGCATGACAAACCCACTATTTATGTTTTTGTTTGCTACCCTTAAATAATTTTGATGTTTCTTTTTTCTTTCATTTTAGAGTCTGTCCCTTATGTATATCTTCCAAGAGGTGATGCTAGTTTTGTGCTGCAAGTTGTATCTCTCAGTCTGTGTTACACTTATCACATATGCTATACTGATACCAAAAGGGAGTACATTTTTAAGCATTTTTAGGTACACAATTCAAGCATTAATTTTTTTTCTATTTTTCCAGTACGAATGCTCCTAAATTACCACGGGGCAGAAGGTATTATGGGATGCACCTTAAACAAAGCACTGAACACAGACTGAGTGGCTGCAAGGCCAGATACCTTGATAGTGCGAATGGGATTATAAGAGTATTAGAAGTTCCCAAATCCTGTTGCAATGGTATATTATAGAAAAGTTTCTATATCTTACTTTCTGTTTCCATTCCTTTTAGTGCCTTTACATCCATTTATATGGGTTAATAGCAACAAACAGGATGTGCCAATCCCTGTTGTTCACACTCTCCAGGATGACCAGCCCTCCTTTTGTTTTAAAAAAGACTTTGAAAAGTGTAAGCATGAATGCTTACAGCTTGGCTCTGTCCTATATCCCATGTTGATGGACAAACCATACATTAGGCAGGATTTTGCAACCTCGAGGGCACAGACTTTGTCTGAGGCTTGCTTCCTTGATCTCACCAGGAGCTGGGATCCAGATGAATCCAGAGGCAGTGTGGGCAACTGCCTCGTCCTTTCCTCTAGGGAGAATGGTAAACTCTACTCTGCCATGCTATGTGCTGTTTTTTTTTTTTTTTTTTTTTTTTTTTTTTTTTGGTAACAATAAGAATATCTTTAACAGTAAGAATCCTCCTCCATTTGAGGGCTGAGTTAAAAGTCAGCCTGGAAAGGCAAATGGCAGAAATACAGCAGGCCTCACTAGGTTTTCTGCTTTTAAACTCTGGGTGCAGTCTGTGGGAAAACAAAACAAGCCAAAATGCATCCTTTTCTCATTGAAATAGACAACCTATTTTCTCTTTTGAGGCTCACAGACACCTGCTCCAGCCCTCCCCAAAAGAGAATTTGAGTTCTACAGCAAAGAGAATTATATGCTAGCCTCTGCTTTTGGCCGCTTTAAATCCACATGGTATTTTGCACACTATTCTTTGTTCTGTCAGATGGTCAGGAATTCTACTGTGTTGCAAAAAAACCCCTATACACTGTTAAAATGAGCTTTACTTTTTAAGTCATGTCACAGTAAATTGCCTTTGAGTGTATTATAAAAATTGCCGTACTTCCTGCGAGAAAAGTTTCCTATACTATTTTTTAAATTTCTATCTGTTGTTTCAGAAGAAAGAAAATCTGCAAAATTTTAAATTATGTTTACCTACAAAAGCAGTAAATTTGGAAATGTTCTCTCTATTTTAAAATGTATTTTACATGAAATTATAAGTTACAGCAGTGGCACAATTTCCAGATGTGTTTCATATAGATATAGATTAAGACAGCTGTAACAGGTTGAGCTAAAACTACCAACCAAAATCCCAATACTTTTGATTATTCCGTTTCTGAATAACAGCTTAAGTGATGTATGCTTTTAAGAGTTATACCCTGAAAGGAGGGATACATATGCCTTCCAGCCAGGAGACCAAGCATAGCATGGGTAAAAATCAGTAGCGATTGTGCAGTGAGTTATGTCTATGTAAGAGTTATTTATGTCCCCATCATACGGTCACAAGGAGTGCCCCTCTGGTTGGGAGCCTTAGCAGAGAGGTCACGGGCTCTAGGTGGAGATAGACTGAGTTTTCTTCTCAGGCTTTGATGGATTTTACCAGGTCTGTCTCTGTTACCATAGTTTCCATTTTGTTCTCTAGATAAGAAATGGAAGTGTGTAGTTCACAGAGGCCTTGATCAGTCGGTTGACATAGGGTCCCTGCCCGCGGTGAGGTTTAAGGGAATGAGAAGTAACTATGCAGAATCCTGTTGTGTGTAGGTAAAAATCAGTCTTTTTTTTCCTTTTCTTTTTTTTTTTTCTTTCCTTGTTTGCTTGCTTTTAGCCATATCCCTGTTCTCAGAAGCTTGTGACAACTGAATCACCAGCTAGGTAAAAGGATATCTTCAGCACAGTTTTATAAGAAGTATTGTCTAATGATTGCATATTCCAGAAACTCAGCTGTTATGAGCCCTTCATTGAACTTGTTGGGCTCCACCCCTTTTGGCTATGAACACTCTTATTGGGTGTCCCGCTCACGTCACTCTTTTTGTGCTACTGTTCCCTTTCTGTTCTTGGGCCTCCTGCGCTTGCAAGACCACTCTGAAATGTTGGACCAGCGAGGACAGTACCTGTACTGAAGCACTAAGAAGATAAAAAAGCAGCGGCTGCAGTTAATCACCACTAATAATACCTCTTTCACAGAAACAATAATTGCCTTCAAATATCCTCTCCCTCCCTAAAATCACTGTTCCTTTCAGCACAAGAAAGGCTATGAGAAGGCTAGGGACAAGCCTTCACTGCCCATCAGTCCCTCTAATTTCTGATCACTTGATTCCTATGCTAGCATCATTCCCTCTACTTTCTTCATCTCTGGGCACTGGCCAGGACTTTAGAGTTAATGCAAGTATTGTGCAGAAGCAGTACTTTCTGTCACTGTTCCTTTTACCTTAATAAATAGATACTATCTGCAGGTGAAGAAAGGCAATATGCATTTTCTTTTAATTTATTTTGCAGGCACTGTTAAAAGGTAGGGAACTCATTATGTTCCAGCCAGACAGGAAGTTTTATTTACAGTTTTTTAACTCAATGCAGCCATGGTAAATTATATCAGCCCCTCAATTCGTGCATTATCATTACTTCCTTACTTTCATACCCTTTCCAGAATTACACTACCACTGACCTGATGAACCCATTTTCTTTTAGAATCACTCCTATTTTATGTTTAGAGATTGCTTGGGAAAACTCAATGGCAGCAGCTAAAAGAGCAGGCAAGTTGGCCATGTATAATCAAAAGGTCAGTCTATTTTCAGATGCTTGTTTGGGGCCACTGCTGAAGAAAGCAGGGAGCCATCTGTACCCATACAGGTGTCAAAAGTTTGTTCTCACATATACCGCAGAGGGCAAAGCCAGGGAAAACAGCCCTGACTCCCCTGATGCCTCCTGTTTGATCATGGAGGCTGGAGAGGGCCTCGGATGACACTCATCCCAGGACACAGCTGATTGACCTCACACCTGCCCCGAAGCAGTGATTCAATTTTTGTGCTGAAGCTTTGAAGGAAGGGGACTCTCACACTTTCCCAAGCACTGACAGCTAGACGGATAGAGCTGAAGTGAATGGGTGACAGTATGATAGGGATCAATGACTCTTTGAGGTTTACTTACTTTTTCTGCAGATATCAGTGTGAACTGTGAACACAGCTGTTTGCAGTTTACTCTTCTCTTCAACTGTCCCTGTCAACTACATCATCATCATGGAACAGTAGCCAACATCCTGCTGGGACTATAACCCCAACCCCCAGTTCTGTATTTGTGGGATACATCTATAGACTTGAGCTCCAGGAACACAGGATCTCTTCCCTTTTCTTGAGCCTCCTTGCCCTGCTTTTGCCTCTATCTGGAAAACAAGCTTTAGCACCATAAATACTAAACCTCCAATTATCCAGCTGACCAAGGCAGCATAGCAGGAAAAAATGCTTTGTCTTCTCCTGAGTTTTCAATAGCTTTCACTTTCCAGCCCAAGCCCCTCTCTGGCTCCCTGCATCTCCATCACACATTTTGTGTTCCTATTCATTCTTGCATCATTTCCCTTACTTCTGCTTCTCCACAGTTCCTTGGCCTTCCCTTCTGCAGTACAGCAAACAATATCCCAAAGACTACTCCAACTACATGTTTAACTTTCTCATGCATGGGGACAAGGAGTGGTCACTGCTGCCACCACATTACAGGACATCTTAGCTCTCATCCCTATTACCTGGATTAACAGGGTGGCACTGAAAGCTATTTCATACCTGCCTTTTTTCTCCTAGAAAAATCAGTAGGAACTTGATTAGTTAATCTTAATTTTCTACTACTAACTAAGCATGCTGCCAATAAGGAAATAGGCTGCTATTGCACAGCAACTAATATGGTAAAATATTAGAGAATATACTGAAGAAATGTACTCTTTTATTGACTACACTCTGAATTGCTGCTGCTCAATTTGCTATGAGTTGTAAATTTGCTCTGAGTTATTTTTACCACTGAGAATTGCCAGGTTTTATACTATGTTTTGCACAGGAACTCGGCTGCCCTTTCACTGTTTTGTTTGTAGTTCCCTTCTGAGGAAGCTGCCTGCTGTTCCCAGGTTTCTCTTTCTCTCTGCTTCTTAGCATCTTCTTTAGATACAAGAAATGCAAGTAACTGATTTAAATTCTTTATTTTGCAGGGAAACATCCTTCTGGAACTTGACTCAGGCCAACTGATGTCTTCTCCCTGCCTGGAGAAAACCTTTGTCCTCCAGGCTGAAGACAGGCACTTGAAAGTAAACCTACCTGGTCTGTCCCTATGAACCAGCAGTGTTGAAGGTTAATTAGAAGTGCTGAAGGAGAAAATCACTTTTTCCATGTGTGCACCACTTGAGAACCACAGGATCGGGACTATTTATTTGGATCACTTTATTCTTTGTTATCATCCAATGGGACAGGCTGAGTCCCATTTCTCTTCCACGTGAAGATTTCAGTTTCCTTGGACTACCATAAATCCTAAGCAGTGATCCTGTTTTTTTTTCCTGACAGCAACTCCCATTGGAGTTTACTTTGGACTTCCTGAAGAGGTGGTCAGAGAGACTATTCTCATGGGCTCCGAAATCCTCCTCTGCTTAGAATGATGGGGGGGAGCATTAGCACAGGCTGGCATACAGCACCACCTGGGAGATCTTATGTTACTCATTGTGCTGCCCTTCTCTCAGCAGGGCATGCCCTCGGTGCAGATGAGGATGTATTAAGTGACTGAAAGACATCAGTTGTTCCCCAAAAGGTGTCAGTTCAGTGTTGCTGTAGATGAGAGAACTGTTCCATTTCTGTCCTTAATCTGAAATAATTTTCAGATTGCTTGCTGATGGTTGTTCTTTGCTGAATGGGACCTCTGCATAACACTAGAAGGAATATTCTGTTTAACGTTCTGTTTCCCAACCTTCTGTCTTTCCTTCACCCATTATGACTGCCAGCACATTTGTGAGTTTTTCATTTGAATGAAATTTTGCTCTAGCTGTGGGCAGAACATAGAAAAAAATCAATAGCTATTAAGATATGTGATACTGCAGGATATGGGATCCTACTGGTAGAAAATATGAGGACCATTTATTTATTCACATACCCGAGTGCCTGCAATCATAATCTGACCTCACTGCCCAGGTCCTGATCTTCCCCCAGGTTTTCAGTGGGGGTTTTTGTTGCCAAATGCCGAGCAGAGAATATTCTGCCCATTGCATTCTGCTGTGTTCTGTGCTAGTTTCTTGTGAAAGTACCTTCAGGTGCTTTCCCAGAGCTCACATTTATTTGTTCAAGAACAAGTTAAGAAAAAAGAGTGACTGGAGGTTTTAAAACCCATTTTCTTTTTATCTACTGTTCTGTTAAAGCTTTCCTTCTAAGCAGCTTACAATAATATAAACAACCTGCAGAAAAAACTCCCTGTCAATCTACTGCTATAAATTCCTAGAGGTCCAGGGGTTTCAGGAGCTGGATATTGCACCTACAGGCCCTGGAGTTAGAGATAACTATCAGATAATTCACTCCTCTAAAAAATACTCCCTTATATTCAGAATGAGTGGAGAGCAGGAAGGGGGAAAAGAAGGTGGGAGGAGGTGTGCTGAGAGCAGAGACAGGAGCGGGGTACCTGGTGTGTGGGATGAGGATGGAGACCACGGGACACCAGTGTGGCAGCTGAGCGAGTGCTCACCTCTCCCTGGTGCCCCAGGCTGTGTGCTTTACTGAGCTCCTCAGCTGCACACATCCTTCCTCAGGGTAAAACACACCTTTTTTTTTCAGCTTGTGTGGGTGCAAACTAGGATCCCAGCCCCTGGGGCTGCTTTGGCACAGAGAGCAGCCATGTCGGCAGCACACTGTGCTGCTTCGCCTTTTGGAGGTGCTCAGGAATAACGAACAAAATCTAATTAAGAAAAGTGAAATACAGTATGTTAAGTCAGCTGCATCAGGGTGTGAAATGGAGCCATTATAAAACAAAACACTGTAAAGCAGCAACTCAGAAACTCCACAGCCTTACGGGGATGCTGACAGACTTCCCTGGAATCAGGCAGGGAACGCACCGGCGAGACCTAATAATGTGTTGGACTGTCACTGGCCATTGCAGGGCTCTGCTGGTCAGCGCAGCTCCTACTCAAAATGGGAAGCAGGAGAGGGGAGCATGTAATGGGCATTAGGGCACCACACCAGCCTGGCCACACTGGGAGAGGAGGAACAGGAAAGGGGGTGATGAGACAGCACAGGTGCAATAGCAAGAGGAGGGAAGGGAAAAAAGCTGGGCAGTGAGGGGTGAACATGAAGGGCAGGTATGGAATAAGGCTGAGCCTTTCTCACCTGAAGATGAAAAACTCTGCAGCTATCAGAGTACGTGTTTACCATCCGAAAGCTGAGCCTGCCCTTGCCCATTGGCTGTGAGAGCTGCTCTGCTCAGGTGGCAGAGGACAAACCAACAAAAACAACAAACCACCAGCAAAACAACGCTGCCCCTTCCCCCCTTTTTAAGATTCTGGTGTTCTGAGATCAACAAGTAGAACTTTAAAATATGGAAGTTTTATTTGTTCTTCATGATGCTACATTTTATGAAAGGATAGAATTAATTCTACTATTTGAATTGAATTTAAAAAGAATTGGAAAAAATTATTTAATCTTGCTGGAAAAACATCTTTTGAAACAGGAAGGAATAGTTTCAATATCCTTAAAATATTTTTAATTGTAATTGTTTGCAGTTGCCTCCCTCTAAAAGTTATAGAAAGAGCATCTTGAATGCATTACAGTAAGTTCAGCACAAGTGAATCTGCTTTCAAATATGCTAGAAAGGATATTCACAGTAATAGGATTAGTACAGAAAACATGTTGTCTTTCTATTTAAAATCCTAAGGTTAATATGTCTTGGTTCCACCCCTCCAAAAAATTTTATAACTGCTTTTGCCAGTCATTACTTAATGATGTTTCACTGTTAAATGCTCACAAGAAATATCTAACACCTGCTGGGAAAATTATCTGTAAAGGTTATCTCAGTAAGGCTTGGATGTAAAATGTCAAAGGACAACTTCATTTCTTTCCCCTTCTTCACCCTCCCACCCCTACTACAGGCAGGAAAACTGGGCAAACGTTTGCAAAGCTGTCAGAGAGGCAGGAGCCTGATTCCTTCCAGCATCTCTCTGTTCTCAAGAGGGCCTTGGGATGTACTTTATTTAAGCTAACAGGTTGTCCGAAGGCAGAAAACTGTAACAGAGAAAATTAATAATTTACTAAAGCTTTGCTGGAGAACAGCAGACCTCAACCTCTGCCATTGTCACCCAAAGGAGAAGTGAACAGTGAGGCCAAGGGGCACCTGCTGCCTGTGTGGAGGGGACCCTGCCGCCTCAGGGGCACAGGCACACAGAAGAATTACCCCTGGCTTCAGGATAGCAACATGTCAACTACAGTTCTCTTTGCTTCAGGTGTCAGCATTCTGTTATTCCCTTACTCTGGCAAAAAATGTGGCTAAACATTTCATGTTGCAACCCCCCCAAAACCCAATGTATTCAATACACCAGCTTTAGTCTTAGTTGTATCTAGTAGGCTTTCTGACCCTGTCCCCCAAAACCAAGACACTGCAAAGCAGCTTTAAGATTCATATTCAAATAGTGGTGGTGGGGGCTTTTTTGTTTAGTTTTTTTGGGGTTTGGTTTTTGGTTGGTTGGTTGTTGTTGTTTTTTTTTTTTTGCTACTCTGAAGATGTTTCTTTGGAACAGATGCCACACAGATGTTTTGAGATTTATTTTTTTTTTTTTCTGCTTGATAACTGCAAATATTTGTGAATGCAGCTATTCATATAGGTGAGGGACCTATGCATGAGGCCAAAGTTGCTGACAGAAAAGTTTTTGCAGGATCAGGTCTATATTATACCCTACCTCTCTCCAAAGCAGCAAGGAGGAAAGTCTCTTCATGCTTCTGAGATCAGCATTCATTCTCCAGATTAGTCTAGGTGCTCTCAACTAGCCATGCATCTTTGTAATGCAAAATGATTAAAACAGAAACATTCTGGAGACCACAGAATCATAGAGTCTGATGAAGGGCTGGGATTTGTGAGAGAAAGGATTTTTCATTTGTAAGTGCAGCCCATGGAGGGAGATATACTGGTCAAGGACAGAACTTTATCTCCTTTCCTGGTGTTTTTCAAATGGGTGAGTCTGGTTTTGGGTTTTCTGTTATTTGGGTTTCGTTTATTTGTTTACTTTGTCTCCTGTAGCCAGGGAACAGCCACAAGTGTCTGATTATCAGAGGTGTGATTGGATTCAGGGGGTAAGTGTTACAGTCAATGCTCTCCACTCCTCCTCTTGAGTGTGCTGAGCTATGTATTGATGCAACCGAGTGAAATACCTCTTGTGTATCTATTGGAATCAGGCCAACACAGTATCTCCCTGTCAGCACCATCTTTCCTATCTTGATGTGTCTGTGACAAAATTTTTTTTTTCCTATGCAGTATCTTGATAATGAGGTTTATTGACTTTACCTGATACAGACATTTTGCACCTATAGTAAAGAATTTTGAAGAAAGAAAGTCTTTATAAGCCCCCAAAAACCCTGTCCAGGTAAAGTTTGATGTGTGACACATGTATACATGTTCTTACTCATTGTGGTTTTAGATAACTATGTTCACAATTGGTAACAAAAGCATAGAAATACCTTGGGAGTAAGAAGGGACTGTTTCTGTTCCTTAAGCTTTGATAACATGTTGACATCCTTAGTGAAACTACAGAAAGGGTCAACATCCTTTGCTGTCTTTTCCAGTGACATGTTTTGGAATATTTCTCTTTTTATTCACATGCCCTCTCTGTTCTCAGATGAATACAGTTGTAGCTCTCTCTTACGGACAGCTCTTTTCTGTTTTGTGCTGTGTCACACAGGTACAGATTTCTGACAGCTGCAAAACATACCTCAGATAATTCACTGAATCCTGGTGGTGTGACAAGCAAAACCCTTGAAAATCCCCACTACTTTTGTAACTGCATAACAGGAAACCCGTGATGTTGGGTTCATAAAGGATGGCTTTGCAGGACTATGAGAAAATCCTCAATGTGGTTTTGGAGATTTAAAAAAAACCCCAAAACTCTGCTATTATATTTGTGACAAACAAAGTTTGCATCACTTTCCAAGTTTATGACCTTGACAACATAAATGCATACAAAACTTCATCTCTGGGATGATATCTTTTTGCATTTTTTTCTTAAACAGTTGTTTTCCCCTGGAGATATCCTTGTCCCTTATGCCAATCTTTCCTGCTTCTTTTTTGCAACATGTGGAAACATTGGCCCCAGCTGTTCTGTCGTTTGGAAAGACGTCAACACAGCTGGTGATTATAAGGAGAAATGTTGTCTAATGGGCACAAAAGGACATGATGGCCACTAGCAGATTCCTGGTTTGTGGGTAGCACTGCTGCTAGCCTGCAGGGAGAGGCCATGTGCCAGTGTCCTCTCTGGGTCTGCCTGAGAGCACAGCCCTGGCACTGTGGCACTAATGTCTGCCGCCTTCCCTCAGCTCCGAAATACGAGCTCTTCCCAGCCTCAGTTGGTCACTTCACTCTTCTATTCCATGTGTTTCTGCAGGGGTGAGGTAAATCTGTTCGTGCTATGTGGTGTTCAGCAGTCAACTCAATGGGCTACGTACAAACCTACCAAGAAAGGCAGATTATTATTCTGGATCCTCTTTATCAGAGTGAGTGTTGAAAAGGGAAAACAAGGTGTAAGCACAGCCTTTCCTCCAGGTGGGATCACAGTGAGCACTGAGGTTTCTGACTTGGCACATTGTTTCCCTTTTCTGGATTAATCCCAAAAATAGAAAAAAGGTTTCTAATAAGGCTGGTTGTGTTA